GGCCACAGGGAATGGCACTAGTGTGGGGCTGGCCTGCTTCTCCCCTACCTGACCCTTCTGCCCGTACTGCTTCTGTTGGTGATATTCATTAAAGAAAAGAAAACACAGTTGGTTCATGAGAGGCCTGTGCTGTGCTGGGTCCCTGGTGACACGCACAGAAACTGTTGGCATGCATGGTCCTCATAGGAGGAGGGAGTTGAGTGTAACTCTTGAAACTGCATCCTGGCTGGGCCAGGTCGTGTGGCCTTGGACAAGTCACTTAGCCTGTCAGGGGCCCCAGCTGGCTCACCTTTAAGTGAGGCTGCCTGCCTGGAAGGGTTGTACTGGAGTTGGAAGGTTTTGTGCTGCAACCTGCCTGCTAGTGCTGGGGGTACTTGGTGACTTCCTCAGGACAAGGAGACCAATGCCCAGCAGGTTAGGGACTGGCCCAGGAAGTGTGCAGGCTGGGGGCTGAGCAGGAGTGGGTCAGGGCTGAGAGATTCCAAGCTGAGCTCTTTCTGCCACCCCATGCTCCAGATCTGACTAGAACCTTGCTGTCTTGGGCATGTGCAGTGACAGAACAAAATCAGGCTTCTAAAATGCCTGCCCCAAAGAACCTTGGGAAACTGAGGCTTGGGGGAGTTTCCTGTGGATGCATTGAGGAGGTCAGGGTGTCAGAGACAAGGGACCTTTGCTGGTGTGAGCCCCTCACCTGCCCCAGGACTGGGAGCTAGGAAAAAAGGAGGGGATATTGTAAGTGGTTGGGACCACCCTGCCCGGAAGGGCCCAGGTAGGTCCATGGCTCAGCTGGGAAAGGAAGACCTGAGGGAAGGCAGCTGAGACTGGGGAGGACGTGAATGGGGTAGCAGATGGCAGAGTGAGATGGGACAGTGAGCTAGAGACCTCTTCTGGTATTCCACTGTATTCCCAATACCTACAACAGTGCCTGTATACAGTAAGTGCTCAATAAATGTCTGTGGTGTGTTTTTTAAGTGCACAGGAGGTGACCCTTTTCTCACCAAAAGTACAGCTTCCTGGCTCTACCACTTTCTAGCTTCAGTCCTTGAGCAAGCTAGGTAACCATGCTTAGCCTCAGTTTCCCCATCCATGAAATAGGGTAACAGTGGTTGGTAGTGGCTCTGGGGCCACCAGAGGGCACTGCAGAGCAACACTTTTGGTGTTGAACCCCTCCAGGTTGGGCACAGAGGAGCCCCCCTGAAAACTCCTCATTCACAAAACACAAGTGTCGCTTCCCTCGGGCTCAACTGACCCTTGTCCTGCTCTGGACATTGATGGGTCATCTGGCCTTGGAATGGGCACTGAGAATTCAGCACACTGAGAATCGCCTCTGAGGTACCATGCTGGGGTCTCTGCAGTGACATCAACAGCCCTAGCTCAGGAGTCCCTCCCTGCCTCAATGAAGCAGCAGTTGCTGAAGCCCTGGCCTGTTTCCCCATGACCGTGTGATTGTCCCACCTCACCTCACCCATCACAGGCAGTTGTATCACCATCGCCATCCATCCTAGGGACGGGTGGGATGTGTCTCGCACGTCCGCTGGGGCAGAACCAGGCGCGCCCTCCCTGGGTGTCAGGAAGCCCACAGTGCAGCGCCCACTGATGGCTCTGCCACAGGCTGTGGAGTTAACTTTGGGGGAGCACTGGGCCTTGCCACCAGGGCATAAGTACCCTCTCTGGAGCCAGCAGTGCCTGGGAGAAGAATGAGGCATCTATCTATGTTGAGATCAGGGACACTGACGGTTGAGGGCTGCCTCTCTGCTCACCTGGCCAGGCTCAGCCTCAGCCCTGCCACCTGCCGACTCTTGACTTGGCATGTGCCCAGCCTCCTTGAGCCTCAGTCTCTCCGTGTGTAAAATGAGACCCCACCCCCACCCCAGCCTGGCAGATGTGAGGACTAGGTAGAATGTGTGTTTCAGGCCCACCATCCCAGTTGGGGGTCCTCCTGAACCAGCCCCTGTAGATAGGCTGCCCCCGCTTTGGTTGGCATGGAGGGGCTGGTGACACTAATCATGAACTTGACCAGTGGACTAGAAATCCAGAGGTCTGGACTTGAGAGCTGCAACTGAACTACCGTGGTACCTTCCTGTCCTGGCGTCAGGCTGGCCATCTGCAAAGTGAGGAGTCAAGCCAGGCTAGTGTTGCAGACTCCAGGGAGCCTCCAGTGCCTTTGAGATGTGCGGTAGCCAGAGATTCTGGTCCCCAGGGTCCAGCAGGGGCTGGGAATGGACATTTTGAGCCAGCTGGGGTCTTTTTAATGCAAAGTCCTGGTGCCAGGCCTGTGCTGAGGGCCAGGGCTGAACCAGCACTGTGCCTGAAGACACAACTCCTAGGCTACTCAGCACAGTCACACCCAGCATCAACACAGCCGGGTGGCCATGTCCCATCAGTGGGGAGCATGTGGCCCCAAAAGAGTTTTAGGCTCTCTCTCTATCTCTTTCCACTTAAACTCACCCGTGGCAGCTTCAGAGGGAGAAAGATGCCAATCCTCCACCCAACTCATCTCTCAAATGGGCACATGAGGCCCTAGAGGTCATCTGACTTGGTGACAAGGCCAAGTGAATCCCACTGCCAGCCACCCAGCCATTAGAAAGACAAGCCCTCAGGCTATTGGGGTCCCCCTTGGTGACTAGTGTCCTATACCAGCTCCCTAACCCCCTGCTGGAAAAAACACATTCTCACAATATAGTCTCATGTAATCCTCCTCCTCCTCCTGTGAGGGAGATGTGTATGAGCTGTCCTACCAAGTATGTATTGAGTACCTACTGTGTGCTAGACACCAGGAATGTAGCTGCGAACAAGTTACAGTCTCTGCCCTCCTGGGTTATGGCAGAGGAAAGAAAAAGTCATTGAATGACAAAAGAGTCACCCCGAACCTAACCAAGGATAAAGGCAGCCAGAGAAGGGGGAGATGACCTTCAGTCTTTGACCCTCATCACAGGACATTCTGGGGGCTGGGAGGATGCAGCTGGACAGCAGGCAGGTCTTAAAGAGTCTTCAAGGATGGGGGCTGTGGGCAAAGATGGGGGCTTCTGTGCTCTCAGCACAGAAGGAACTCAGGTGCATATATCACAGTCACCTTGTGAGACAACCTATGTGACCCCAGGAGAGGGTGGTCAGGAGGGCTCTGTTGTCCATGCCAGCTGGACACTAACTGGTATCAGGGGGCAGACGGAGTGGAGAGATATATCCTAGGGGTAAGAAACCCCAGGGGCTGGCCTGAGGGACAGGGAACAAAAGTCTTTGTGGCCCCCATTCTCCACACAGGCTTTGGACCTGCCCAAAGCCACTTGCCCAAGTAGACCACACAGGCTTTCCAGGGACTAAGGGTCTCTCAAGGCCAGCACCGCAGGATATAGCTCTGTTTGGGACCCAGGGGAAGCTGCTGTGCTCTGAGCCCCTCCCCCCTGCAAGCCATACTGACCACCACCACACCAGCTTGGGCTGCTGCTGTCCCCAGGAGATGCTAAATTCTCATACTCTAATTGCTTTGGTATTTTGATATGGTTTTTTTTTCACAATATGGTAGCACTCCACAGTCTATAAAGGGCATTCACACCTGCTCAGGTGAGTGTCTTCATCCCCGGTGCCCTCCCCACGTCCCACACCACATGCCTCATCTGTCCATACCTGGATTCCTTGTCACCCACTCAGTGAAGTCTGTGCCACTCACGGTCACCTCCATCCCAGCTTGGAGGCTGGCAGTGCCTCCTCTGTTTGCCCCCACCCTAGTTCTGCCAGGACCTGCTCGGTAGCCAAAGCCATTAACTATCAGGAGAAGAGGGGCCTGGCCCTTCCCAGGCTGTCATTTTAATGGGCCATGCAGTCCCAGGCTCAGGTGACAGGCTCTGTGGGAGGTTCCTGGGGACAGAGAATTCTTGTTTATGACTGTCTCCCTTGTCTCTAGATCAAGAGTAATGTCTGGCACACAACAGTGCGTGCACTGGAAACACTGGTTGGTTCAAATTGAACAACTCCTTGCAAGGCCTCTTGCATTCCACCTGGAACTCTGAAGCCATGCTTGTTACCCCTGTCCAGTGGGACAGGTAGTCGGGCCTTGTGGCAGTCCCAGAAACTGGGCTGAGGGTGGCTCTGGCAGGGGCTGGGCCCTGTGTATGCTCAGGAGGCCTGGATTAGGCCAGCTTGCTGTGTGCCGATTGCACAACACTGGACACATTATTTCACCCTGTGAGCCTCAGTTTCCTCAACAGGGAAAAGCAAACAATCCCTATTTCATACAGGGGGACTGTGTCTCCTCTACCTCATAGATGGTGGGGCTCTGTGAGATCAAGCTTCTCAAAGTGCCCTGTGAAGCATATACAGGAATTTCCAAGGCTGGGCCCTCCTCTGGCCAGGACCATTCTGCCCCAGCCTAAGAGACTTAGGAGATCCTGCCTGCTTGTACCAGACAAGGGGGTACTTGGGCTTCACTGCCCTCCATTCCCACCCACCAGCAACTCCTCCAGGCAGCCAGTCAACGCAGGGTCCCTGCCAGAGGAGGTCTAGGGTAGCCAGACCCAGGCTGGGGTCTAGTGAGGTAGGGCTCTTGGCCCAGGCGCCCAGAGGATTGAAAGCCTTGAGAATGTATGTCTAAGTGAAGGGCTCTGGACGGATCTCTGTGGGCACAGAATTTTCAGGGCTACTGCGAGACGTTGATGACATTGATGTGACAGTCGTTGTGCATGGACGTAACCTCAGTGGTGAGCGTGAGCTGGGCGCTTGGGATTGGACTGTGCGTCCCATACGTGTTGGCTTCCTGTGGGCATGCGTGGCCCTCTGCAAAAGGGAGGGAGGGCTGAATGCGACCCAGGGGAGGGCAGATTGAGGGGTGCTGTGGTCCCTGAGGCCGCCTAGACGTCGACCCCGCCCTTAGGTCGTCGCCCCGCCCCTTGCTCAAGGCCCCGCCCGCGACTTGTCCCCGCCCCCTTTACCCCAGGTCCTTGCTGACCAGAGCACCTCCTGGCCCCGCCCCCTCGCGGAGGGCCCCGCCTCCTCATCGAGGCCCCGCCCCCGGCTGCCTTTGAGCCTGGCGGCGGACGGCGCTTCTTCGCTCCACGCTGCTCCGCTTGGAGCAATGATTACCCCGGCGGGGCGGCCGGCGCGCGGCCCGGGGCAGAGGCGCGGGGGCGGGGGCGGGACCCTGCGGGGCTGCCTGGCTTCCTGCTCTCGTCCAAGTTTCCCCGTAGAGGCGCAGCGCCGGCCCGGCCCGCGGTTGGCGTGGCGCGTGGTGCAAGGCGCTCGTGGGCGCCGAGCCGGCCGCCGGGGTCAGCATGAGGACTCTCCGCAGGTTGAAGTTCATGAGTTCGCCCAGCCTCAGTGACCTGGGCAAGAGAGAGCCGGCCGCCGCAGCCGCGGACGAGCGGGGCACGCAGCAGCGCCGGGCCTGCGCCAACGCCACCTGGAACAGGTAAGGCCGCGCCCTCCGGCCCGCCGGGTCCCCGCGCCCGGGGAGGGGGCCTCCGCGCTGCCCGAGAGAGAGACGGCGCCCCGGCCCGGCGCTTCGCGGTTTGCAACTTGCTCCGCCGGAGTTGCGGGGCGGGGAGGGAAGTTTAGTGCAACGTGTTCCTAGAGCTCAGCCCGCGGCCACGAGGACCCAGGGCGGGAGCGGGGCGCCCGGCGGGGGGTCGCGGACCCCCGCGCGCCGCCTCCCGCCGCAGCCCTTCCCTGTTGCGCTCCGTGCCGGTGACAGCCCGGGAGTGAGCAGCAGGAAGTATTTTTCCCATTTTGCAGACAAGCAAATGCGCCTCTCGGGCTCCCCAGTGGGGTGTCGCTGCACTTCCTGTGTCTGCGTGGAAGGCCCCTTCGGGTCGGGGGTAGGCGGTGGTTTTCCCCGGAGTGGACCCCTGCCCTCCCAGCTGTCAGCAAGAGGTGTGGCAGCTGCTAGACATTCCTTAGAGGACCCTCCCGCGGAAGGCCCCATCCCAGACCAGCAGGGGCTTGAGAAACCCCTCCCCCAGCTGTGTTTAAAGAGAGAGGCTGGATCCATCCGGAAAAGAGAGGGGTTTATTTATCGGAGTTCCCTAGCGGGCCCGCTTTTGGGCCCTTTCCAAAGTAGGTTTTTCCACCTAAAGGAAAATAGGGTCGGAGGGGCTGTTCAGGGGGTCTGTGTGATGATTATCCACCCCCACGGCCACACCTGGCAGCAAAATCTTGCCAGGTGCTCTACCAGCTGTCCTCTCAGCCACCAGTACCCGGCTGTCACTTGGACGCATCTCTTGTGTTCATCCACTTCTTCATGTACATCTTGAGGGACTGCTACATGGGGTTGCTAGCTAGGACCCTGTGTACACACTGGGCAGGATATGGTCACTGGGGTGCTTCTGCCCTCCACTGAGTTGCAAATTGCTTGAGGGCTGAGACTGCCTGCCTCAGTTTCCCTTTCCGTAGTGGGTCTACACAGTCCCTCTCGCAGGGCTGGGGTGAACGGAGAGGGCAGGACTCATCTCCTTGTAACTGTGTGCTGCCTCCAGTGGCTCCCTCTGCAGTACTGAGTGAAAAGAATTCAAATTCTAAGCCTGCCCCTTCCTTGCTGTGTGACTTTGAGCAAGTCATTTAACATCTCTGGTCTTACAATTTACAAATTATGGTGGTACCCTCCTCACTGGCTGTTTGACAATGCATCGAGCCCTAGGTGTGGTGCGTGGCACGTGGTAGGGACACCAGGACTCAGAGTTAAGCTGGACTCATTAGAAGCTGTGCAGGAAGCCTGAAGAGATTGGCACCCGGGGAGTTTAAAAAGTGGCAGGTCTGAGCCTTCATGCCAGCCCCAGCCGGAGGCTCTGACTGGACCCTGGCTTAAAGGGCTTAGCTGTCCGCCCCCTCCTGTGCCCCAAGTGACCCTAGAGGCTCTGAGTCATGATTGTCTTCGGAAGCTCAGGAGGCCTTGCACCAGAGGTCATCCGAGTTCAGTCCTGCACAGGTTTTTCACTTGGTGGCCCCTCCCTGCAGTACCCCAGGGCCACTTGTCTCTACCCTCTGGATCCCTGCAGCTTCTCTTGTCTCAGGCAGCAGGGGCCTGAGGTGTCCTGTACTCCTGCTGTGCGCCAGGCCCTGACCAGCCCCATTTGTAGCCCTTGGTTCACTTTGCCACCAGCCTAGCCCAGCAAGGAAGGCACTGCCTCCCCCACCACACACACAACTGAGAGATGTAGGGGCACCTGGAGCACCATGGTCTACCTTCCTTGCAGGGGACCCATGGGGCCTGAGCCTTGCTCTCCTCCCAGGCAGCTGTGTTCTTAGGCATGAGAAAGTGATGGACCTTCCCTAGTCAAGTCCTTCAGTGGAAACAGTAGGGTCCAGGGTCCTCTCCTTACCCCTTCTGGCCTACCTGCCCTCTCTCCCTGCTAGGGCTCCCAGGATAACAGCTCTGTGCAGGGCCTGGGACAGCTGTGTTAGCCTGCAGGTCCAAGGTATCCCCCTTTTACCTGTGTGGCAGTGTTAGTATCCCACGGCTGCTGGAACCAGTGGCAACACTGGGCCACTTAAGACAACAAAAGTGTGTCCCCTCACAACTCTAGAGGCTGGAAGTCCAACATGAAGGTGCAGCCAGGCTGTGGTTCCTCTGATGGTTCTGGAAAGGATTCTCTGTGCCTCTGCCAGCTCCTGGTGTCCTTGGCTTGTGGCAGCCTCATTCCTGTCATGCCTGTGTTTTCACAGGGCCTTCTCTGTCCCAGTCTCCCTTTTCTCTTATGAGACACCAGCCACTGGATTCAGGTCCACCCCAAATCCAGGACGTCATCTCATGGTCCTTCCCGTTACATCTGCCAAGACCCCATTTTCCAGTCAGGTGTCAGGTTTCCGATGCACATGAATATCTAGGGATGCTATTGACCCACTTCAGTGAGTCTGCCTCCCACCCCCCAGATTCCCTGAACCTCTGTCTCCACATCTGGGCATGGGTTGAGAATACAGTTTACTGTGTCCTACGAGAGATCTACACACAGCCATTCCCTCATTTATTCATTCATTCATTCATTAATGGCCAACTCTGAGCTGGGCCTAGACATTGGTGCAGCAGAGGGAGACAGGCTCACAGGAGGAGTCAGGAAAGAGTCCACAGACGAGATAATTGCAGGTGGCACTTAGCTGGGAAGAAGACAGCCTGCCCTGTGACACTGGCCCGTGGACCTTGTGCTGGTCATGTGCTCCCTGCTTCCTGTGTTGCTGAGTCTATAGGCACAGGAGCTTTCTGAGGGAGGTGGGTGCCAAGCCGACTCCACAAGGCCTCCCTAGTGGACTTAACTAGAGCCACCTAGAGTCGCTTCCTGAGCGCCTGCTGCTGCTTCCCTATGCAGGTGTGGCCCTGTTCCCAGCCCAGCTGTGCCAAGCCTGGGGCTAAGAGGTATACTGTAAGGCATTCCTGGGATGACAGATTTGGATGGGAGTCTCTGTGTCAAGACGTACCTGCCGCTCCACCTGGAGGCCTTGTCCCCACCTGCCTCCCTCCCCACTCTGGCCCTGTGGACAGGGAACCCCCCATGGGCTCCTCACTGAGTATTGACCCTACACTCACTTGGGTCTCCAGATCCCTGTGGGCCATGGCCTTGAGTTGATGGGGCCACATTGCACTTCCACACCTTCCCTAACTGGAGAAAGAGGTCACCTACAAGAGCCCTGGGAGTGTCCTATGGAAGCCAGGAAGGGCTAGCCTCAGGAACTGGGACTTGTGAGGGCTGCCCTGTGACCCTCAGCTGCCAGCAGGTCCTTGGGTAGGCTCTGTGCTCCCACCCAGGCCCAGCCTGACCTCTGTCTCCTGGCAGGAGTATGTTCTTCTGCCTCCCCGCAACCTGCCCACCCCAAGGATCTCTAGAGAAACTTGTGGAAGATGCCCAAGACCCACAGCGACTCTGAGATGGGTCCCAAGGGGTATCTGAGCCTGCTGAGTCATCTCCCAACCAGTGTCCCACCTCTCTGGGGAGCCCCATCATGGAGGTGACCCTGAGTAGGCAGGACTGAGAGAGGACATGCCCCGAGGTGCTGGGCACAGTGCAGAGCAGAGATGTATGGCGCCTTGCTTCCCACTCCCTTCCCCAGCCTTCCTTGGGGAAGGGCTGACTGCTTACCTCTCCTCTCCAGAGGAGGAGAGGGACCTGATTGATTCCCCACTGGTGTCAGGGTCTCGGGTCTGAACTGAAGTCTCACAGGAGGCCACTGTCCAGGGATACATGTAGGTTCCTGTCCCAGCTAGAGCTAGTGTCAGCTGTACCCTACAGCTGGTGTCCCTGTCTGGGACAGGGGACTAGGGTCAGGGACCTGAATGATCTTGTCTTCACTGCCCTGGTCTTGGATGGGGGCTTCCTTCCCCACCCACAGCCAATGAGAACCCGGCCTCCATTGGGGAGGGGGATGGATGAGGTGGGACGAGAAGGGGGAGGGGGACACCTCTGTCCCTCCACAGAGCCATGTTTGCTAAGCCAGCTTTGCTGCCCATCTGGCAGCCTCCAGGACACAGAGTGAGGAGGGGTCCCTAGCAGAAAGTCACCCTCATTTCTAAGTCCTTTGAGGCCTCCTGAGGCCACGTGCAGAGTAAATTAGGGGCCTGGGAAAGGTGGGGCCCAGCTCCCTGCAGAAGTCTCAGTCTCCTGAGGGTGTCTGACTGCCGCTCCCCCTCTCTTGCTTCCCCCACTCGTTTCCTGTATGGGTGTATGGGCAGGTGACACCACAGACACACGCCCTGCCCTCATACAGCCCCACCCCAGCCCCAGCTGAGTCAGGGCAGCCACAGGCAGGAGCACACACACACATCCCACTCTCCCTTCCTCTCCAGCATGAGCCAGAGCCACCCCTCTCCTCACACTGTCCCTCCCAGCCAGCCCTGAGGACAGCAGTCCTCAGCACCACCTAGGGCATCCTGAGCTGCTGACATCCTGGCTTCTCCCTCTCACTGCCCTGCTTGCCTAGCACAGTCAGGAGATGCTGGCCCAGCGCTGGGACCTGGCCTGCCCTCCTGGGACACTAGAGCCTGCCCTGGAGGGGATGTGCAGGGGACCTTCTGGGGTGGGGGCTTCCTGGAGGAGGCAGCCCTTATGTGGAGAAGGGGGTCTTGGCCAGCTTCCACTCAGATTACCAGGAAGTCAGTGTCTTCTCACTTCCCTACCACCACCCTTAGCTCCTGGGATCCTGTGGGACCAGCTGCAGATGCCCTGACTGGGCCTGCCCAGCTCTGGTCTGGGAGGCCATGGCCCAGGCAGCTGGGGTTTCATTTCTATTTTAGGGGAATGACAAGTTACACAAGGCCCTACCGCTCTCCCCACCCTTCCTTTCTCTCCAAGTGGCACACAAGGTTTTTTTGTTTGGACTTTGGAAAGAACATGGAGCCTCACAGAGTTAGAAACAGAAGAAGAAGCAGGGTGTCACCTGTGCACCCCAAGGGTCCGGGTGGGGAAGACTGTGGGCCAGGGCTCCATCTCAGTTCCAGCTCTGCTGGGTATTGGTCTGCGTGGCTCTGGACACTGTCCTAGGCCTCTCTGAGCCCCAGCGTTTTCTTCTGTAACCTGGGGCCTCACAGTCCCTGCCATATGCTGGAGTTTAGGAGGAGACTGAGGAAAGCCCCAGGCTGGGTATGGCTAAGGTCTGGCAGATACAGGCCCTTCCCTGAAATACCCAAGACAGCTGCAGATTGCACAGTATCCCAGGAGGTGGGCTGTGTGCTCACCCAGCCAATTGTATGGATGGGGACACTGAGGCCACACAGCCAGGAAGCTACAGCTGGTACTCAAACCCAGACCTTCACCTAGGGCCACAGGAGGCTGGGTTGGGCATACTAGGGGAGTACAGGTAGCAAAGCATCACAGAAGGCAGAACACAGGGGCATTGACTCAGCCCTTGCCAGCTGTTCCCAGGCCTTGCCCTGTGGAGCCAGAGTGAGGCAGGCATGGGATCGGTAGTGAGCTTGGTGACTTCCTTGGTTCCCAGAGATGTGCTCCCTGCACCGGTGTGCGTGAGGAGGCCCAGTGGGTCTCCAGCAGGATATAGGAAGGAGGGAGGACCTGCTCCAGGCACCTGGTGGGGTGGAGTGGGCCAGGGTCACTCTGGAAGGTAATGTGGAGTTGAGGAAGGACAGAGGGACTGGCCATGGCAGTCTCAAACCTCCCACACTGGTGTTTCTCATCCCTTTCTCATCCTCCTGCCTTGGGGGACTTTTGCTGTGTCCACCCCTCTATCTGAGTGGGCCCTGGCAGTGAGGCCAGCAGCCATCTTAACGGGGCCCAGGGCTTCTGGGAGAACTTGGGTGCAATTCCCCAGTGCCCTCCCAGGGGCCGGGGCCAAGAGTGCTGCTCCTACCTCACCCCCCAGCTCCACAGATGTGGACTGAGTGGGGCTGGTCCACCCTGTCCTGCTCCCCCCCAGGCTATCCAGGAGGTCTGGCCTCTGGCATTCCAGGGCGGTGCCATGAGATGGTGTCTTCTAGGGCCCCTGGACTGCCTGTGGGATTCAGATCTTTCTTAGTTGGTAAACAGGAGCAGCCTAATGGGATACATGGGGCTGGGTGCCTCGGGGACTTTGAACCGAGAGAAGCACTGTCCCTTCTGTCCTGGGTCAGGCTTGCGGCCTGGTAGCACCCTTGGGATTCCCATTTCATAGACAGGAGGCAAGGCAGAGAACCTGTGTCCCAGACACTAGGGTAAGGGACATTAGCGCCCAAGGATCCAGCAGCGCTGAAAGGCCAGTGGTGGGTCACACATCTGGCCTGGCCAGTTCAGGAACCGGCTTCTGACCCTGGGTGGATTCCCGCTCCACTCAGAGCCTTCTTGGCGCGTCTGGAATGTGAGGCCTGGGACTCTGCTGTCCCTTCCAGGCCTAGAATGGGAAGCCCACCCAGACCTGGCTCCATGCTAGATGCTGTCTGGGGTGATGGAGCAGCACATCACCTCACTAGCTTTGTGACCTCTGGTACAGTAATTGGTCTGTCTCGGACTCAGTTTCCTCATCCGCACAGTGGGTGGTGGGCCAAGTTATATGAAGTTATAGGGAGGGACACCAGGAACACAGTGGCCATCACCTGTCCCCTCCAGGCTGAGTGTGCAGCAACTGGGTCCTGGGTGGAAGGCAGCAGAGCCCCCAGGGCTCAGGCGGTAGCCGGGACAACAGGGACATGAGTCGGCTTGCTGGTATGTGAGTCTGCCCTGGAGGGGCCAGGTGGGCTTCTTGGAGGCAGCATCCAAGTGAATTGGGAGGACAAGGGCTTCAGACAGCAGGGAAATGGGCGCTGTAACCCAGAGATGCAGCATTGCCAGGGCCCAGGGTGCTGTGAGAGAGGGGCTGCATCCAGAGGAGTCTCAGCAGCCATGTGCAGGACCCAGGGCAGAGATGGGACAGGCTGCCATGGAAGACAGGTGTAGAGGACGGTGGGAGGCAGGACGGGCTGGATTTGGAGGGCAAGGGGGAAATAGGGTGAACTTGACTGAATACTAGCCAAGCTACTGCTCTGAACTGGAGAGACTAGGTACCCAGTCACGATCAGCACAGGAGCCCCAGTTCTTGGGGTTTATACATAGTGGGAGAGACAAGTTGTACAGCCACATAGAAGTGTATTACACACCATCTGAGGCCTATGAGCTGCAGAAAGAAACTTGAGTAGATGAAGTGGGGAAGGACCAATCAAGAGGCTTGTGCAAAGGTAGGTCCTGTGGCTAGCAACTGCCTTCCCAGTATGGCTGGGTGCAGCTAACATAGATGCGCAGTCTCAGAGAGTCTGGGATTTAGATCAGGGGCTCCTTGAGGCTCATGGTGAGGAAACCTTCAGAGCAGGAGTCAACACACTGGCCTACTGATCAGATCTAGCCCACTACCTGTTTTTATAGATAAAGTTTTATTGGAACACATCTACACACAGTCCTACCTTCACAGAACCAAAGTTAAAAGGAGTAGCCCCAAGTGACTGACTGGTCCTCAGCGGGGTCAAAGGCTTACCCTCTGTCTGCTACATGAAGTGTTGTGAATTCCTGCTTCTGAGAGTTTTTAAAGAGCTGGGTGGAGTGGGATCAGACCGCCCTGTTTACACTCCCAGGCCCTTTGTGAAAGCTGGCAGTGGCAGGGACCCCACTGGTTGGCCAGGGAACTGTGAGGAGACTGAGTTAGGGGTGGGGACCAGGCCAGAGGCAGTGGGTATGGAGGAGGCAAGGTCGGAAGGACTTGGACGTGGTGGGTAGAGGTGAGCGCAGACCCCTGGTTTCGGGGGAGGTGGGGTGGGTGGAGAGCACAGCAGGGAAGGAGGCAGTGTTTGCCAGGTTTGACAGTTCAGGGTATGCTAGTGCTTAGAGGCCCTGGAGAGGTGGCTGGGAGGCACCTGTGACATAGGCACTTGCTCCGGGGAGGCCAGGGCTGGGCTTGACATGCAGTGAGTGGGGTCCTGTGGGGACCAGGAGATGACGAGCAGGGTTGGGAGAGGGGGTCCAGGTTCTTTGGGGGGCCTCACTCCTCTCTCCCATCCACAGTATCCACAACGGGGTGATTGCTGTCTTCCAGCGTAAGGGGCTGCCCGACCAGGAGCTCTTCAGCCTCAACGAAGGCGTCCGGTGAGTGCCCGCCGTCCTGCCCTGGGTCCAGGCCTGTGGGGGCAGGGAGGGTTGGGAGGGCTTTGATCCCAGCCCCAGGGGCTCTACCCTGGAGGGCCACCCGGCAGACTGGGCCGGGTCTCAGCCTCCCTGGACCTCAGCCCTCACTCCTGGCCTGGACCTGGGTCCCCTCCAGAGGACACCCTTCTAGGGGAAGCAGGGTGGGACTTGGGCCGTGGCTCAGGCAACACCCACATCCCCTGCCGGTGCAGAGCAGCATGAAAGATATTTATCCTGTCAGAGAGGAAGGACCCACCTGCCTAATGACTGCAGTGTTGTTCCCAGCAAAGCAATTACAGCCCGCGGACACTCCTCATTTCCTGTGACTGGGCAGGAACCCAGGGTAGTGAAGCAGCTGAGGACACAGGACAGCCCTCGGGGCCACCACTGTGAACCAGGCAGCTGAAACTTGAAAGGAGTCTGTAGTCACCATCTGTAGCAGAGGAGGCTGGAGCTCAGAGTGGTCAAGCTACTTCCCCGGGGTCACACAGCTGGTACAGGGGCTGTTTCCTGCTCTGTGATGTTTTCCTCCGGCCCTGCCCCCTGGGTCCTGTCCCGGGTCAAAAGCAATCTAGGAAACTAGACAGGAATGCTTCCTTTCATTATCCAAGGGCACAGGGAAGGGCCAGTGTAACAGGGGTCAGATTTTCACACACAAGCACCCCACTCACCTGTAAGGGCCATTATGTTGGTAAACTGAGGCCCAGGGTGGGAGGGGGGCTGGCCAGAGGCACATGGAAACCAGAAATGTGGTACCTTCCTCTGGCCTAGTGCTTGTCACTGTTCATGATGTCCTGCTGCTCTTGGCCCATCCAACCTGCCCAAGGGTGAGGCCCCAGGCCCCTTATTTTCTTAATATGTGAGACCCTGGGCTCACATGCTAAAAAAAAAAATTTTAATCTGCTGGTGTTAAAACAATGAGAAAAGGAAATACTTTTAAATTTACAAAGCAGCAGGTGGAGCCCAGCCTAACCCCTAACCCCCTCTCCTGGCATTGGGCATCACCTGGGCCTGTCCATGAGATCCGCAGCCCCCCTCCCTCAGCAGTGAGTGCTGGGCAGGGGGACCAGGCTCCTCCCCTGGAAAGCAGTCTGAGTTCCTGGACAATAATTGATGCTAGGCAGCTTGTTTTTCACCAGTGTAAAAGGGAACACCAGGGCACCTTAACTGTGACAGGGTCTTTTCACCAGGCCTCACACAGCCAGCTGGGTGCCAGTTTTCTGTGCCCCATACTCTAAACTCCTTCATTCTTCCTTGCAGCCCTGAGGGGTCCAGACCTCATTGTTTCCATTTTACAGATGGAGAAACTGAGGCACTGGGCGATTGAGCTAATGGTTACAGTATAAGTAAGTGGACCTGGAACCCAGGCCCCAACTTCTGGGCCTCTGTGTCATTTAGCACCGTGCCCCGTCCTCATCCCAGCTCTTCTGTATCACGTGGCCACATTAAATCAAGTGGGCCTAATTATCACTAAATCTATAGTTAATTGTTAGCTTAATCCCACAGGAGAGTCTGTGGCATCTACAGTTGAGTTTGTGTGGCTTAACGACAGGAGTTCGTGCTAGGAAGGCGTCAGTAGGCAATTTCATCACCGGGTGACCATCCCAAAGTGGTTTTACACAAATCCACTGGGGCTGTGTGGTGTGGCTTGCCCAGTACTCCCAGGCCACCAACCTGCACAGTGTGTTTAAACAGAAAGACACTGAGGAAAAGAAAAGGAGGTAAGGATTTTTCAGCTCCTGGGCTGGTGGCATGGCTTTAACTGCTAGCAATCTTGAGTTCCAACCTCAGTGCCTCCAAAAAAAAAAAAAAACCAAAATTTTTCCAGTCCATTGCTGGGACCACTGTTGCCTATGCAGTGTCATTGATGGTGACACCATGTGCTACACAACTGTGTACAATTCATTATACCATAAATGTCACCCATTTAAAGTGGGCCATTCAGTGGTTTTCAGCACACTCACAGGGTTGTACAACTGTCACACCAGGTGACTTCCAAAAAGTAGCCCATACCCATCACCCCCCAAGCCCAGCAAACACCCTCAGCTCCCTGGGGCTGTGGCTTCCTCTGGCTCTGGACAGTTCATGTAAATGGGGTCGCACGCTCAGGGTCACACACTCTTCGGCCTTTCGTGTCTGGTTCCTCCACTTAGCACAGCCTCCCTGGCTTGCGGTGGCAGAGCCTGGGCCGATGCATCGGTCCTCTTTGTGGCTGGGTAGCGTACAGAACTCGTGTCGTTTTGTTTATCCACTCACCTCTCCCACCTGCAGCCGTGATGAACGCCACCCGGGGCCTCGGATGCAGGATCTTATGTGGCCTGGGATTTCCTTTCTCTTCGTGTGTCAGGACTGCTGCGTCCTGTGGTCACTTAGGTTCTCGTTTTTGGAGCTCTGCCCCCTCGTTCTCTCTGCGGCCGCCCACTGACATCCCCACAGTACTTTGGTGGTCACATGCTTACCACCCCTTGTCATCTTCTGGTTTGGGGATTCTAGCAGAACTGGTGGATGTGGAGCGGTGACTCACGGTGACTTTGGCTGGCATCTCGCAGATGACCGGTGATGTTGAGCTTCTGGTGCTCACTGGTCGTGTGAGTATCCTTGCGGACATTTTGCCTGTTTGTCAGGCACAGTGCTTATTCTGAGTTGTAGATCCTTTGTGTCTGTGGGTCTAGATATTTATTGAGCCCTGACTTGCAAATCTGCTTCCCTTCCTACGCAGTGTCCTGTCACCTTCTTCTTGGCGTCCCTCTCCATGACGTCTGTTGAAGCACAAAGGAGTTTAGTTTTGAGAGAGTCCAGTTGTTCCGTCATCTTTCTCTGGCCCCCTTTCCTCCAAGCTGTGGAAATGGACTTTGCACGTGGCCCCTGTCCTCGTGCCTGTCTCCACACGTCAGGGCATGTATACAGGGCATCCTCTCCAGCGGCCTACCTGCCTGGGACTGGGCAGTGTGTAATTGTGCCCTCAGGTGGGTCAGGAGCTCAGATGTCTGTTCTGGTTACTGCAGACCCCTCCTCTTCCTCCTGAGCTCCAGCTGAGGAGAGGGTGTCTGTTCTATAGGCCCTGCCGCTTCCAGAACCAGAACCAGCAGACCCTCTGCACCCTGCATCCAGGCTCTGCTTTCTGCCTCTGTCCCGCCCCACAGCCATCTCTCCTAAGCTGACATCTTGGGACACCAGGGGTCCCATCCCTGGGGTTCCTGGGCTCTGAAGATGTAGGGTCTACACTACTGTTTGAGGCCACTGTTTCCTTCTTCTCCCCTCTCTTTGTAGGTAGGCCCCCTTTGTCCTGAGTATGCCTAGGCCTCTCTTGGGGCTCCTGTGGGGTGTGTCCTTTCCCCACTGGGAAGCTGTGGCTAGCCAGACAGGTACAGGGTACTGGTGCCATTTGCTTTTACGTTTCCTACAAAGCCCAGTTGTCCCCTGTGAGTTGGGCAGGCCCTCCTCAGATCCTGGGAAGGATGACGGGATTTGGGGGATTTTTGCTTTTTGTTAGGTGTGTTAATTGTAAGAGGAGTTTCATTGTGAAGTGCCATGAGTGCTGTAATGCACTTGTCTCCCTCAGTCTACCTCCTTTTATACATTTTTTAAATTTTTTAATGGGTATCACTGTTTTCATGCATTTTTTAGATACATTTCCATTCAAACATTCATACATGTGTTTTTTGAGACCAGTTACCATTGTGTTGCCCAGGCTGGCCTCGAACCCCTGGGCTCAAGCAATCCTCCTGCCTCAGCCTCCCGAGTGTCCACACTGCAGGCATTCGACACCTCACCTGGGTAGGATGTCTGTATGTAATCCACAGGACTGGGAGTCAAACTTGGGTTTCCTGGCCTGGCCTTTGACCTCTCCTGCCCTCCCAGAGCCTCAGTTTTTCCTTTTGAAGATGGAAAGTGGTTCCCATCTAGAGAGGCTTTTGCTTGGCTGGCGTCTGTGTGTCATGGCCGGTCTCCTCCGGGGGCTGCCAGATAGAAGTCACTGTGCACTTGGTAGCGGTCTTTTTTTCTTTTTTTTTTCTTTCTTTGGTGGTACTGGGGTCTGAACTTGGAGCCACTGCACCAGCCCTTTTTTGTGATGAGTGTTTTTGAGATAGGGTCTCGCAAACTGTTTGCCTAGGCTGGTTTTGAACCGTGATCCTCCTGATCTCTGCCTCCTGAGTAACTAGGATTACAGGTGTGGCTCAGGCATGAGCCACTGGTGCCCAGCTTGGTAGCACCTGCCACATGCGGGCTCCAGGGACTGACCACACAGCTATCGGCCATGCTTCAGGCTGGGACAGAGGGGCCCAGGTTGGCCACTTGGTCAGCACAGACTTGAGGCCAATAGAGCAGCCATGTGGCCTCGGTCTTCTAGGACCATGCTATGCCCCTGGTCCAGTGGCTGGGCGAGCCGGGGCACAACCAGAATTGGGGATGTTCAGTCAGTAGTGCCCCTCAGCCCTGCCTAGGAAGGAGCTGCCTAGGTTCATTTAGCATCAGCCACAGTGGGAAGGGAATGCTGGGGGGGCTGGGAAACCCACAGGTGGTGGCAGGGGACAGCACAGTCACTGAGGCAAGCTCTATCCACACACTCCTGGGCTGCTGGTGTAGTGGGCGGAGGCCTGCTTGGCCCTGACCTTCATCCCTGCATCCACGTTCCTATAGCTGTCCACACACAGGGGAGAGGCAAGGGCTTTACTGAGTACACACTCGTCACCAGGGTCAGCCACCAGGATCCTCTGCTCTATGCCCAGATGAGAAGCTGAGGCTCCAGCGGGGCGGGGGGGTCTTGTCCAGGTCCTCAGCCATGTGGAGGGGACTCCCTGGGCTCGACTTCATCCTGCAAGAACGCAGGCCCTCCCTTCTCACCAGCCCTGCTTTTCGGCCTTGTCTTGGTGGCCCTCATGTGATGCACATAGTGAGACCTTGAGAGGCCTCTGCCTGGACTTGGAGGTCACATGATGGGGTGGAAGACACAGGTTGGTCCTTGTAGAGCCAGATGGCAGCTCCCAGGGGCCGGCAGGAGAGGGTCAGTGCTTCCTCCCTGTGTGGCACAGTGGGAGGTCACCCCCTGCTGCTGAGTTCACCATTGGGCACGGAGGATGCTGAGCCTCCAGTCAGACTGGGCTTCCCTATGCAGAAATTGGGAGTATTAATACCATCTGTTGGGAGCTGCCAGCTGAGATTGTGACAGGCCTGGCTTGGCTGGGCCCCAGGAACTGCTCAGGAGACATCACTGGCCCTCCCCCTGCTTCCATCTCTTGCAGGTGCTGCTCAAAGCACCACGCAAACATGGTGACAGATGGTCAGGTACAGGAACCCTCCACTCCAGTGGCAGGGCTGCTGGCTGACCTGGCCCAGGCCCCTACCTCTCTGGGTTTCACTCAGGTCCCAGTCCACCCAAGCTTGGTGGGGACAGCCAGCACTGAGCTGGGGTCCAGCTTACAGTTCCCCCAAAGGGCCTTTGAGGACCTGAGTCTCCACTCATGGTGTAAAAGAGAGGTAAGTTACTGCTACCTGTCCTTGCGTCCAAGTCCATGGCAGAAAAGGGGGTGTCCTGCAGAGAGTGAGCTTTTGCTTCCAGCTGTTGCTTTTGCACAATCCTGCAAGTCTCTTTTTGCTCAGCAGGGCAGGACCTCACGGGATGAAACTATGCAGGGATCCTGGTAACCCATGGGCATGTGTGCAGTTGTGCCATGACCTTTAAAACTTGTGTCAGAACATTCAGCCCTCTGATGGTGCTGGTTATTAATGCATGGAGAAGTGAAAATGGTAATAGAGTGAATCTTTGTTTGGGACACTGTAATGTACAACATGGGGAACGTTGAGAAGTGTGTTATTTCTTTGTGAAGAACTTACCAAGAACACTTTGAGCAGTATTTACCTGTTCAGAGCATTGTGGCTTTGCATTTGCAAGACAGTCCCTGGCTCACAGCGATTCAGTTATGTGGCATGGGAGTGCACCCATGTGGCCGCTGCGTTTCAGGTGCGCTACTGAGAGACCAGCGTTGTGCTGTCAAACGGGCTGGGTTTGGCCCAGCAGCAGGCTAACATGAGTGTGCTGAGTGTGTGTAAGGTGGCAGGGTGAGCTGTGGAGTTCAGTAGTGTATTAAATACATTTTTAGGGCTGGTGGAGTAGCTATGGGTAGACGCCTGCCTAGCAAGAGTGAAGTCCTGAGTTCAAATTCCATCACTGCAAAAAAAATGGATTTTTAAATAGGATATTTCTGACTTGCAGTGAGTGTACATGCACGGTGCCTACTGTAAGCCGGGGAGCACTGTACCTCGTGTTTGCCCTCAGCCACTCGGGCTCATCAGCTTTATAAAATGCCACGTGGGCCTATCACTGAGAGACAGGTAGACAACACCCTATAGGCTTTGCTGTGTGTGCTCAGGCCAGTCACAGAGCGACTCTAAAAGAAGTGCCATGATTGGTCACTGCTCCCCATACGCCTCTGTTACCTCAATTGTGAGTGGTGGCTGGGAGCCAGCCAAGGCCCTTGTAGCTTCCCACTCAGTGGGAATTTGAACCCTGTTGTTGGGGGCTACTGTTAATTAGTTAAATCCCGGTTATGGACATTTAAATCTGTCAGAACCATGCAGAGTGAGGACTGTGTGTAATTCAGGACTGGGAAGAACCTAAAAGTTAAGGTCTCTGATCAGTTCCACTCAGAACGTAAAGGCTTGGTGAGGATTCCCTGGCCGAGTGTTTTCAGCCTGGGGCGGGTGTGGAATATGACACCGTCCTCCTGACTCTGAAGGTATGCAGTGGTAAGCGTTGTCAGTGATGGGTACAGAGGTGAGACCCTAACCTGGCATGGACTGTGTGACCTTGGACTAGTCACTTGACCTCTCTGAGCCTCTTCTGCCTCACCTGTATAAGGCAACCCCAATCCATGCCTAGCACTGTGTGTGTAAAGACTGAATGAGCCGCTCTGGACTAAAGGGGAAGACACCTGGGAAAGGTGGATTCCGCCAGACCTGGGATTTGGACACGAGGAAAGCAGATGAAGCCAGGGTTGGAGGTCCAGCCCCAGCACGCGTCTGCTGGAGGAAGTGAGCCGCTGTGGTCCCTGTTTCCCTTATGGACCCTCAGGTTCCTCTTCTGTGGACAGGTGGGGAGGTTCTTGATGTGCTGCACTGTGGCAGAACATGGACTGGCCCACGGTGCTGAACGTGGGACTCGCCCAGTCCATGTTGTCCCTGTGTCCCCATATTAACCCCCCCCCAGCTCTGCATGGCCTCAGTTCACTCCCGTCTCCCCTCCCTCACAGGCAGCTGCTGAAGACGGAGCTGGGGTCCTTCTTCACGGAGTACCTGCAGGTGGGTGGGCCTTGCTGGCCACAGAGGGCAGGTCACCTGCTTTTGGCTTCTGTGGAGCTCCAGCCTCACAGCTGTCAGCATGGGGATTCCAAGGACATGCCATGACTCGGTTCCCCCAGCCAGTCAACCGGTTATTGTGCAGGCTAAATGACAACATGCAGGTGAGCCTTGGAGTTGTGCCTGGCGTCACCACCCTGCCCTGAAGTACCAGCAGAGGACACAGGGCAGGGCCGTGTGCACAGGCCTCTCACCAGACCCTGCAGCACCACGCCTGGCCTCTTACCCCCTTTCCCTGCCAGGGTTGTTTGGGGTTTTTGTTTTGGTGGTACTGGGGTTTGAACTCAGGGCCTCGCACTTGAGGCAGGCTCTATCTTTTTTTGGCGTTAGTTATTTTTCAGAATTTGGAGGTCACAATCCTCCTGCTACAACTCCTGGCATACCTGGGATTATAGATGTTCTATGACCCCATCTTGTTGAGATAGGGTCTCCCTAACTTTTCCCCCCATACTGGCCTCAAACTGTGATCCTGGCGATCTCTGCACTCTTAGTAGCTGAGATTACAGGTGTGAGCCACCTTTCCTGGCCCTGTTGGATTTTTTACAAGACAAGAGCTCACTATGCAGCCCAGGCTGACCTCAAACTAACAACACTTACTTCAGCCTCCCAAGCGCTGGTGTTACAGGCACGCACCGCCATAGTTGGGTTTGAATTATCATTACTTAGTGGTTTTGTTGGGATATAAGGCACGTTCCATACTGTTTACCCACTTAAAGCATATGATTCTTAGGCTTTTTAGTATGCTTGCAGAACTGTGCAACCGTTACCACAATTATAGGACGTTCTTGTCACCTCAGAGAGAAACCACCCGCGGCCACTCCTCCCTCCAGCCCCCAGCACCCACAACCCACTTTCTGTGCCTGTGGACATGCCTGCTCTGGACGTTCCGTACAATGGAATCATGCAACTTGTGGCCTTTTGTGTCTGGCTTCTCCTGCAGAGGATCCCATTGTAAAGTCGTCCACGCTGCAGCAGCGTCAGAGCTTTTCCTCCACTCGGGCACACGGTGTTCCGTACCACGTTGTTTCCTCACTTGTCCGTGGAGGGACGTGTGGGTCGTTGTCACCTCTGCTGATCTGCATGGTGCCAAGACCACATGCTTCCATCCTGTCTGAGCTGTGTGTGTGTCCAGCACACACAGGGACACAGGTCCCCAGACAGTGGTGTCCTACAGGCCAGGCCTCAGTAACTGGGCCACTCTTGCTACACAGTTGGCCTGTCTCTCAGAGAACATCCCCGTGGCCACCTCCTGTCTCACGATGACCTGAGCTGGGCCAGTGCTTGCCTCGCAGGGTGATTAGGGTTTAGTCTCTGCAGCAGGAGGACAGGGCCTCTATGCATCACAGCCCCCTCTGGATCTTGGCTGCTTCTTGGTGGACTCTTGGGGTCCTGTGGGGCAGTGATTCCACCTCCTGCTTCTTTCAGAACCAGCTGCTAACCAAAGGTATGGTGATCCTGAGAGAGAAGATCCACTTCTACGAAGGTGAGCATGGGGGGCTCCACGGCCAGGGCCGGGTTTGGGGACAAGCCTGTGCTGGCCAGCTGCAGCCTTGGCCGAGCCTCATGGCTGGTGTCTTGGGCAGTGGCATGGCAACTGTGCCTGCCAGGTCCCTCGGGCACTGGGTTGGAGGTGTGACTTTCCAGTCAGCAGAGCTGAGATCTGTACCCAAGAGGGGATACCAGGAGAGCCATGAGCAGTTGGAGCAAGGCCTCCTGCCTCACCTCACTGCCTAAGGGGAGGGGACTGCGTTAGTCAGCTTTTATCACTGTGACAGATGAGCTGATTAAAAATGACTTAAAGGTGGAAACATGGTCTTACAGTTTTCAGTCCCTGCTCAGCTGGCCCCATCACCTTGGGCCAGAGATGAGAACATCACGGTGGAGAGTGAGTTGCAGCAAAACTGCTCACCTGGCAGCCAGAAAGCAGAGGGAGGGTGGAAAGAGGGCCCCCGAGGACAAGGTCCATCCCCCAAAGGCAGGCACCAGTGACTCACCTCCCCCACCAAGCCTCTCCTCCTAAGAGCCTATTCAGAATGAATTGATGGAATTGGATTAACTGCTGATAAGGTGCCCTCATGATCCAGTCACCTTTCAGTGGTGCCACCATCTGGGGCCACGTGAACCTTTCTGAGGGACACTTTGTAACCAGACCATAACAGGGACCTTCCAGCCCAGGTGCATCCTGCCCACAGTTCTGGGGATCACCACGACAGTCTTGTGGCTCCAAAGATGAGAGAACTGGATAGGGACAGAGGTGGATCTGATGCTCAGAACGGAAGGGGCGGGGCCAGAGAGGCTTCTAAATGCTCACACCCACGTGTGAGGCCTTCGGGTCATTGCTCCCAAATTCGGACAGCACGGGGTGACAAGGCAGAGGCAGGACCCAAACCTGGGTCTGTCTGACTCGGCATAAACCACTGACTTCCCTGCCTGGCCCAGCCAGGCCCTCCTGGCCAGAGGGTCTTGACATGCCACATCCTAGCATCCTTGCATCCCTGGTGTCCAAGGGCCTTGGGGCAACAGCTCAGTGTGCACTTCCTTCAGGAGGCACAATGTGGCATAGGGCAAGACAGGGAACCAGAAGACTTGGCCCACACTGATTGTCCTTTGCAAAGACTAACTGTCGCCAGGCACCAGGCGTGTGTTTACTCTACCAGATTCTGTCCCAAGTAGTGTGCACCCCCTAGCTGGTCTGATGCCCGAGCAGCCCTCAAACGGCTCAGTCTCTTCTGGGCCACATGCAATGGCGTGGCAGAGCCAGGATGCAGAGCAGGCAGCTGGTCCTCAAGCCCACACTCTTCACTCTGCTGCCCCAGGCTCCCCTTTCAGGCTGCAGCCCTGGGAGAAGGAATGTCAGCCCATTTCATGTAGTGGGAGGCTGAGATCTGGAGGCCTGCGTGCTCTGGGGGGAACTCGGAGCTGTGTGTCCTGTTCCTATGGTGACACTGTACATATCAGATGGGGACAACCTAGGCAAGATGGGCCATGACACATGGGACAATGGGCAGGAGGCACAGGCAGCTGGGCTCTGGACAGCTTCCTAAAGGAGGTGGCATCTGAGCTGGCAGGATGGCACGTGAGCACTTGGCACCTGAGAAGAGCTTCCCACGCTCTCCTGACGGGGCACATTCCCACGGGTCTGTGCCTCCCACCAGTGCCAGCCCAGGGGAGCCAGGACCTCAGAGAAGGGTGGCTTTGTGTGGCCTTGCCTCAGAGCCTTTCCTCACAGGGACAGTCTGCTTTGTGGTTGGGGCAGAAGACCTGACAGACCTTCACAAGCCCTGGCCTGCAGGTCCCAATTAGCCATTGACACATTGGGTCCTCTTTGGCCTCAGGGTCCCTGTCTTAGCACTGAGGGGTAGGATGGGCTCCGTCCACATAGGTGCACAGTATGTGTCAGGCCCCAGGTGGTCTCTGGGGACCCAGGGATGGAGGGGTCACAGGCTCTGCCCTGCAGGGGTACTCACAACTCTTGACACACTGTCATCCGGTTGCAGTCTGGTGTGAACGTTAGGGTGAACTGTAGCCCTTAGCGACCAGGGAAGGCTACACAGAGGTGGTGCTTTGTGGCTAGGCCCTCAAAGTGTGGTCATTCAGGAGGATGTCTGACCCCTTGCAGTGGGGCTAGCAGCCTGCCCCACCTGAGGGTTGGCCTCTGGAGCCACCCCATCCGCCCCACCCCAGTTCACCCAGAGGGACTCCTTCCCCTAAGACTGTGTCCTGTGTCCAGCTATGCTCTTAGCCTGTGACTGCCAGAGTGGACACACGGCAGGGTTGTGGTCCCAGAAGGCCAACCCAGGTCCTGGCATCTCTTGTCAGTCCCCAAGCAGTTGGCTCTTGCCACTCTGTGGTTGAGACACTCAAGGCTGGTAAGTACTTACTGTCACCAGGCCTCAGGCTTGTGCCCCAGTGAGAACCAGGGTGGAGCCTCTGCCGTCCTCCCTGGGCTTGGCACACCCCCTCTAGCCACATTGCACCAAGGGCCAACACAGCACTGGGGTAAGCTGTCATTCCCCCCCACCTCCCGGGGTGTTCACCACACCTGTTCCATGCAGGATGCTTCTGGGGCAGGTGGAGGATGTTCTGGGGTCCCACAAGGATCGCAGCGCAAGACTTCCACCCCAGGCATCTTACTCTGGCCCCCAGACAGCCCTCTACCACAGGCCCTAGCAAGTCCAGCCAGTGACGAGGCTGTCCTTCCTGACCTGGGTCAGCATGAGGCTCAGGCTGGGGCCTGTATTCTGTGTCTTACATCTGCTTTCCACGGCATATCCGCCCTGTGGGCTGGAGAACGGCCTGCACTCAGTGGAACGCTGCCCTGGCTGGCACCCAGGGCCACCCCACGGCCAGCCCAGGACTGAGCGGCCTTTCTTCCTGGCCAGCGGCAGGAACTGAAGGGGCCCTGTGTGCGGGCGGGGTTCTGCCGGGCCGCGAGCATCCACCCACCCCAGGCATTCCTGCGGCCTCCTGGCCCCTGGAGCCAGGTGTGGGCCACCCGGGAGGGCTGGGAGCTGGCTGCCAACAAGGAGCAGCAGATGGCCGCACACAGAGGCTAGCCTGCCCTCTGGGGCCAGGCTTGACAGGGCCTCTAAGGGCAGCCCCGCTGGGCTCTGCCTCCTGTGCCCCTGCACCTACATAGACCTGGGGCTTTCAGTGAGGCACTGGACCTAAAGCAAATGCAGGAAAGCTAGGCAGAGACCCTCATCCATTTCCATGGGAACCTAGAAGTCAGTTGCCTGACAGTGCAGTCTGTGGGGCAAGCTAGCCAGTTCCTGGAGACTCTAAGCAGATCCAAACTGCAGGGTCCCTCCTGAAGCACAGGCCTTGGGGACATGGGCCAGACTGCAGAGACCCTCTTGTGGCATGCTCATCCCTGGACCCAGCAGCTGTTCATCTCAGCTCTGCTCACCCAGGCGCAAAGGCCAGGCGTTTGCAAGTCATATCTCCCGGTGGAGCCCAAGCCGGCCTGGGGGATCTCGGCTGTCCCCTTCCCTAGGGGCTACCCACAAAGCAGATGGCATCACTCTTGAGGCTGACTGGATGCCTCAGAGCTTGTCCAAAGGCCTGCCTTCCGCACGGCTGCTTTGAGAGTTTCTACACCAGGGCTTATTGCTGTCCACCTGGCAATTCTGTCTCCCCCAACCCCAGCTGGGACAGTACTTCCTCCGGGAAGCCATCCTTGCCCCCTGCATTTGCATGGTGCTGCTGTTGGAAGGGGCTCCCTGACGCCAAGGCTTTCCATAGGCATCCTGGGCCCTGGAGGGAAGGAACCCAAAACCACAGCCTGGGCTGTGACCTGAAGGTCACCCCTCACCCTCAGCCTCCCTGTGACTGTTCTGTGTCCTGCTTCCCTGTCAAGAAATGGGATCCAGAGTTGTTGGAAGCCTGGCTGGGTCCCCAGTGCGGATTGTCAGGCCTAGGCCAGAGTACGGTATCTGTACGTATTGTGGATGAGCAGATAAAGCAGGAAATGGGTGAACAAGTTCCTCAGCCCTTGGCTGGGCCGTTGGGAGGACACTAGGAGGTGAGCTGAGCCCCTATGTGGGACACAGCTGAGATGGAAACAGAAACTGACTGCTGGTGTTTCTGTCACACCAGACCCTGTGCTGAGCGCCTAGTGCCTTAAGTCTTGTCTTGTCCCATCAGCTCTGGCAGGTGGGCCCTGTCACCATCCATTTGACAAGACGGGGACCTGAGGTGCAGAGGTTGAGCCCTGGGCTCAGGGCAGCACAGCTGCCAGTGCTGGAGGCAGAAACAATCTTGGCAGGCACCTCTGGGCTCGGCCTGCCCTCTGCTCCTGTCCTGAGGGAACAGCAGGGTCTGCCGGCACCTGCCCAGGACAGGTCATGATGGTTCCTGGTATCCACAGGACAGAAGCTGCTGGACTCACTGGCGGAAACCTGGGACTTCTTCTTCAGTGACGTGTTGCCCACGCTGCAGGCCATCTTCTACCCTGTGCAGGTGTGCACTGGGCCCTGAGGAGGGAGGGAGGAGCCCAGGTGCCCAAGTCATGCCACACGGGCAGGTACAGTGACAGCCTGCCCTGGCCTTGCCCCAGGAGGGATGCTGCCAAGCCCAATGGGCACGCCTGCCCTGACCCACACTGCTTTTATGGGCCGCCTGAGCCTAGCATGCCCTGAACCTTGGAACCTGTCTCCCCAAATGTGAGGTGCAAGTAAGGCTGCCTCCCTCCTAAAGGCCCGTAGAGCCAGAGCGTAACAGGGCTCTGTGTGACAGCCAGCACTCTCCTCAGGAGGGTTACCTGCAGGCCAGTGGGCCCGTGTCTGTGTCCAGCCCCAGAAGTGGGGGATGGGAGGGAGATGAGGCCCAGGTGGCCGTGGGGCATGGGGTGCTCTGTGTCTGCAGGGTAAAGAGCCCTCCGTGCGCCAGCTGGCCCTACTGCACTTCCGGAACGCCATCACCCTCAGCGTGCGTCTAGAGGACGCACTGGCCCGCGCTCACGCCCGTGTGCCCCCTGCCATTGTGCAGATGCTGCTGGTGCTGCAGGTGCGTCATGGGTGCAAGGCCAGGCTCAGGTTTGGGGACCCCGAGGCAGAGAGAGACAGTAGGGGCAGGGACGGAGCAGGCAAGGCCATGAGTCTCAGGAGTGTGGATGGAACCACAGTTGTTCCTTGTGGGCCTAGACCCTCTCAGTCAGTCACAGGGCCATGGACACGACCCCACCCCCACCCCCCACCCCCCACATACACTAGGTGCAGACACCTGGTGCAGGTGGCCTTTGTCGGCAAGGACCGCTCCGGGGAAGGGCAGCTACCACCTGTCAGCCATCTACCCATACGGCACCTAGAGTGCCCCAGAAAGGGGGCCGACAAGCCACCCACAGTCTGCTACCTCGCAGTGGGCATGTTACCCTACAGCCACCTGGCTCACCTCACTATCACAGAACCAGGAGGCACCACCACCACCCCATTTTACAGGAGGGGAAATAGAGGCCTCACTTGCTCAGAGCCTGGCCTCACCCTGATTCTCACAGACCCCACAGCTCTAATCATTCTTCTCATCGCCGTGTGCATGTGGAAATCCTTTAAAAGGGAGGGTCTGGGGGCAGAGGGAAGCCAGCAAAGACCCCAGAGCAAGGCAGAGGCTGGAATGGGGAGGTTTGTAGGGTTGGGGGCTGGGGGCACTGCTGGGCTGGAGGCTTATGGCTGTCCTGGCAACCAAGCTGAATGCCTGCCTGTGTATGGGATTTCCACAGATTTTAGGTCTGTGTGAATGAAAGAGCGAGATATCCCAGCTGCCAAGGCAGGTATGAGGGCAGCGGGGTTGGGGGGGACACCCAGTTTCCTGAGGAGCTGGAGATCCGATTTAGCTGTCCCAAGAAAACTTGGCTAGTTGATCTCGTGAGGCGGGCTGGGTCTGGGCTGTGCTGCCCCCTAGTGGTGCCATGTGCAGCTTCCTTGCCGTGGCTCCACTGTGCCACCCCACCCCCACCCCCGTTCCCCCAGTCCTCACCACATCTCTGTCATTGCCCAACCACCACCTCTCCCCCAGCTTTATATGATTTTGTCTCAGTATGCCGTGGACTTGTGCCCTGACCTCATCCTGGGCCCTAGATGAATTTGGCCCCTGGTGTTTCAAGTCTTGGGTGGGTCTGAGGTCAGAACTCCTGGACAGCCTGTTTTGAGGACCTACTGGGTGCCTCTGATTGGCTCCCAGAAGCACAGCTCCTTCCCAGAGGGTCCTGGGATCACGGTCCCAACCCCAGGACCACTACTTCCTCACCTCTACAATGGGTAGGGGAGATAGGACTTCATACAAGTTATAGAAGTAGAAGGGCTGGATGTGGTGATTCACACCTGTAATCCCAGCACTCAGGAGGCTAAAACAGGAAGATTGAGAGTTCAAGGCCAGCCCAGGCTACGTAACGAGACTTTGTCTCAAAATATCAAGGGCTGGAGTATAGCTCAGAGGTCCAGCACTTGCCTAGCATGCAGAATGCCCTGAGTTCCATCCCCAGCACCACCACAAACAAACAAAAAAGGAGTGCCATGATGCTCAGGAGAGGTTGTTGCACCTCAGTAGGTGACACCTGGGGCCATTGTCACCCATGTCTGCATCTGCTGCTGTGGCAGAGACATCCCAGAGAGATGTGGGACGCTGTGTCAGTCTGGTGGCTTCACTGAGCAATTCCCTCAGCTCCATGCCAAACCCCAGGCCAGGGCTCCGGTGCCTTTACCAACTCGGCCTCCTGAGAGTCAGGTGACAGCTCATCCACTGGAGGTTACCTGGCCAGGCTCCCTGCCCTTGTCCTGCCCTGCCTGGCTGTTGGCTCCACATCCATTCCTGAGAGGCCAGGTCAGTGATGTCTCTGTCAGCACCTCTTGCTGGCTTGACTGCGTGAGCAATGCACCTGGGATGTCCTGGCCCACAAATAGTGGTGCCTCCCACTCACGTGTAAGTCACCCACTCATTCAGCAAGTCCTGGTGCTGTGCCACAGTGCTGGGGGCACAGAGTGGCCAGCCCACCATGGGGGGAAAAGATGGAGGTGGCCCAGGGTGGCCTCAGTCCTCAGGCTCAAACAAAACTGGAAGAAATGGGAGTAGTTCAAGGTCCCCTCAGTCCAGGGGAGATACAGGGTTGGATATGGTCCAGAAAGTGACCTGTAGGAGGGACGGGAGGGAGCATGGACAGCGCATGGGGGTTTTGTTAAGCAAATGGCCTTGACTGCCCAACCTGGGCATAGAACTGGGCCTGACCCCAAGGGCAGCCTCTCTTTCCTGCACCACTCTAGGGGTGAGCAGGTGAGTTAGGGACCCAGGTGACAAGCCTGGCTCCATAGGTGAGGTCAGCTGGCATCTCAAGAGACTGTCCAGAGCCCCCAAGACACCAGTGACAGGACTGCCCAGGCTGGAGACCACAGGTAGTCCAGCCTCCTCTGGCACAGGGCCTTTTCTGTGGTGCATCCAGAAAGGACAGTGCTGGAGCAACAGTGACCACACACTTGAGGACTAGAAAGGAGGTCACTGTTGGCCCTGACATGTAGGAGCAAGGAGGCAGGGACCAGGCTGCCTGGGAAAAGGCATGTGACACACACACTCTTTTGTAGGGGGTACATGAGTCCAGGGGTGTGACTGAGGACTACCTGCGCCTGGAGACACTCATCCAGAAGGTGGTGTCACCGTACCTGGGCACCTATGGCCTCTATTCCAGCGAGGGGCCCTTCACCCACTCCTGCATCCTGGGTAGGTTGTTGCTGGGCCCTGAGGTGGGGATGACTAGAAGCCCCACAGCTGAGTAGTGGCAGAACCCTCAGGCTCTTACTCAGGATTAAGTCCAGTAGTGCAGCAAACCTGGCCCGATCACCCACTTAGCCTGAGCGTACACTGACACGAATACTCAGAGTTGGGGGCAGTATGTAAATACCCCAAACAGTGACATGGCAACTCCCCCAGAGAGCTCCATGGAAGTCTCTGCGTCTCTAGAGGCCACATCTGTGCTTAGTCTTAAAAGCTGGAAGCTGCCAGGCAGGGGGCACAGCACGCGCAAATGCTGGGAGCCTGAGATAACCCTGCTTGGTCTGCTTGTTGGGTAACTAGAGGTGAGGTTGCTGGGGATGGGATGGGCGGGGCCGAGATCTATGGAGGACACTCCTGGGGCAGCCTGGTGTGTCCGGCATGAGCCAGCCACATTGTGTCTGGGGTTCATCCAGCAACAGTCACTTGGGCACCTACTGTGTGCCCACTCCAGACACCAAACCCTACCCGCACATGCTCTGGTCTGGCAGAGAATGAAGACCAGCTTCCAACCACTGAGTGTGTCTCAGCTCAGACAGGACACTGACAGCCAGAGGACTTTGCACCTCCCAGGCCTGGTGTGGCCCTGGACAATGGGATTCCAGCCCAACGCAAGCGGGACCCTCTGGCCTACAAGTTCAGAAACACCTTGGGCTGCTTGCTGCACTCAGCCCGGCCATCTGGTGGTCACTACTGGGAACTCCGGTTCCTGAGTGGGCACCTGAAACTTGCCTCCTACCAGCCTCAGGCCCAGATGTCTGAAGGGCTGGGCTCCTGCTTCTGCCCTTGTCCCCTATAATCTGTTATTCTCCATACAGTGGCCAGTGAAGCCTGTTCACAGCTGCTTTGTCACGAGCTCCACCACACTCAGGATAGAGTCCCAGTCCTGACCTTACCTGGCCAGGCGCTTGTCACCTTGCTCCCCATTGTAGCACTGCCCAGCATTGTAGCTTAGCCATGCAGGTTTGTCCGCCAAGTCTACCTAGGAAAGTGCGGCACCTTGGGTTTGTACAATTCTGCAGGTAGGGAAACTGAGGCACAGAATGGTTATGTAACCGTCACAGGGTCCTACCCATGTCACTAGCAGAGTGCACATTTGAATGCAGGCAGTTGACTTCTCCCCCTACCCTTGCTGCTGAGGCTCGGGAAGAGGACTTCATCCCTGCTGGCAGGCAGTGGCTGGTGGGCCTGGCCAGAGCCTGCATCTGTCCGGCCTTTCCCTGGAGGGGCCCATCCTGCCAAGTTAGGTGCTCAACAGGCAGGTGTCCAGGTACACTAGGGATGGAGGACGTACAGACAAGTGGCTGCTAGACCAGGTGTGTGACCGAGTGTTTCTCTCTCCAGAGAAGCGCCTCCTGCGTCGCTCCCGCTCAGGGGACGTCCTGGCCAAGAACCCAGTGGTACGCTCCAAAAGCTACAACACGCCGCTGCTGAACCCCGTGGCAGAACACGAGGCGGAGGGCACAGTCGCCAGCAGCACGAGCATCCGCAGGCACTCTGTCTCTGAGATGACGTCCTGCCCAGAGCCCCAGGGCTTCACTGATGCACCTGGCCAGGCCCCCACAGGGACCTTCAGGTCCTCCCCGACGCCCCACTCGGGGCCTTGCCCCAACAGACTGTACTCTCCGGCCCAGCACCCCGAGCAGGGCCCTGCCCATGGCTCTCCACCCACCTCCAGCCCTGAGACCCTGGTGGACCAGATCCTGGAGTCCGTGGACTCGGATTCTGAAGGGATTTTCATTGACTTTGGCCGGGGTGGTGGCTCTGGAATGTCTGACTTTGAGGGAGCCGGGGGCCGGCAGAGCGTTGTGTGAGGGGCTAAGCCTGTAGAGCATTTTTACTGACCCCGTGTGTGTGTGTGTGTGTGTGTGTGTGTGTGTGTGTGTGTGTGTGAGAGAGAGAGAGAGAGACTTTTTTTACTCTGTCCCAGCCTTGCCAGCCCCGTCCCCCTTGTCACTGTCTCAATCACTTTATATTCCCCAGTCTGCTGGAAAACCCACCCACTGCCCCTTCCCAGCCCAGGTCTGATTGGGGCACCCGAGTTGCTATCACCAAGTCCACAGTCAGCAGCTGCGTGTGTGGACAAGGATCACTGCCCTCACTTTGCTTGCCCCACCCTCAATGTTCACACCCACCCAGGAAAATGTGAATCTGGTGGATTCCATCCACACCAGCCCCCAAAGTGATAGGGCCAGACCTCTTGGCAATCTGCCCTCCCTCTACCTGGGGTGGCCCTGGGGACAGGAAGGGGTAGAATAAAACTTGCCTGCTGCTCCTGGGCTCACATCTGTCCCTTGGAGTCCTTCTGAGATCCACAGGGGGCGTCTTAACAGCTGTGGCCATGTCCACGTGCTTATATTGTCCAGGCTTCAGCGTTCAGTTCATTTCTGTTCCATCCTGATGGAAGGGCCCAGACAGCATAGAAGGAAAGCCTGAGAATCAAGGGAGTCGGGTGACGCAGATCGTAAGCCCTGATGCAAGGGGGTCTGGATGGAACCCCTGAAACCTGGAGGAAGGGAGAAGCCCCTGTGCAGGGGTGAAGGCTGCCTGGCCTGGGACGGAAGGGCCAGTGTTCTGGCTGCTCTGCCCCTCTCTCCTGAGCCCTGAGGTGGTCAGACCCTCCCCTCGCAGCAGCAGCTAGACAGGCTGCTTCCTGCCAAGGAGAGGTGCCAGAGTGTCCTGAGAGCTGCTGGATTGTCAAGAGGCCAGCCAGCATCAGGACCGTGCCTTGGCAGGAACGGAACTTGGGATCAGCTTCTCTGTACCACACCCCCCATTTACAGGGCAAGGAGTCAGTGTGGTCCTTAGGGGGAAGGGCATTGGGGTCCAGCTGAGTGGGGTGTCTTCCTGAAACCTATCCTCCTGCTGGCCCTTACCCTGGCACCCTGAAAGCACTCACTTCTTATGGAGTAGTGTTTTGAGCAAATAAAGCACAGGTCCAGTGCAGGGGGACAGATGTAATCAGAGTGTGGTTAGGACCAGAGGCGACACTGGCCCAATGCCCAAGTCAGGGACAACTTGATCCACAGGGTCTGCTGGAAGTGCCCTTCCCCCACCCCAACCTCTGCCGGAGGGTAGGGGCTGCTGGGGAGCTGCAGCCTCCTGGCATACTTGGGCCTCAGGGGTGCCATCTGTGATACGAGCACAGTGACCCCCACAGGGCTTAGGAACGGTGCTCCAGGAACAGGTGCAGGTTGCTAGAGTGGCCCAGTCTCTAGGATTCTAACTCAGGGGCAGGTCATCCATCAGAGCCTGAACCTGGCCTGAGAACACAGCTCAGCTGATGGGGGCTGAGAAGCCTGAATTGTCATCCTGGGTCTCCAGCTCCCTCATGGAACCAGGAAAGGCCTGCTAAGCCTAACACCTGCCCCCCTCACTCCCAAGATCCCATCTTCCATCCCCCTCCCTCTCTCGAAGCAGCTTTTGGAGGCGGGAACAGAACTGTGGGCCGGAACCCAGGGGTAGAGGTGACTGGTTTTAGCCAGTGTGGCGAAACTGTCACACGCTAGAATGTAAGGCAGCTGAACACTGCTGGGGTCCCACCCCGCCAAGCACGTGGGGACCCACCCTGGCGGAAATAACTTACTTGTTTGTAGACCTAGGAGGCTCCTTGCCTATGGAAGGAGTAGAGTAATGTTGACCATCATCAGCGTCCCTAGAGGAAGCCTTGGTGACAGCTCCTGCTGGGTCTCCAGGCTTCTGGGTGTCCTTTTCTCCTGTGGGTTCCGCAGGTTCTCAGGAAAGCCCTGGCTCTCAGGTGCAGAATCTCAGCCCCACCCCACCTGCCAGCCTGTGTTTGTGTCTGTCACACTCGGGGGTCCACAGGAGGGAGAAGCCCTGGGAGACCATTGCCCCCTCCCAGCACAGGCCACCCTCTAATTTGGGGGCAGCTCCATCTTAAAGGGAAAGTTGTGCTAATTGATCTAAGTCGTGCATAGCAAAGGCACTCCACAAGGTGGATGAACCGTCTGGCCTCTGATGGGGTGGGGCAGTCCCACGTGGCTCAGCCCAGTCAGCAAGACACTCCTTTGAGCCCCCGGCTCACTCTGGATGGGAGGGGATGTGAGGAGCACCTGGGATGGTCTGCTAGGAACAACTACCACCACAACAAAAAAATGACAAAGTTCATTCAACTAGGGAGTCATCGGATGAATAAATACTGCTCATCGAGGGCCCCCACTCGCCACTTCTGGAGAATCTCGGCCTGCTCTGTGTCCGACTCCCCAGGCTTCTGTGGAGGCCATGGATGTCTTCTCAGAGTGATGCTTTTAGAGGCATACAGAGTGAACACAGAATCGCAAAGATACCTGTCCTGTGGCTAGCAGCTCTCAGAGCATTTTTAAAATGAGAGGGGCCTGTCTTCACCAGCACCTTAACAGCAGTTGGTTTGAGATGTCCACAAGCACTGGGAGTGAGAGCAAGTCTGGGTCTGTCCCTAAAAGCTGTGGGATGTGCACATGACACTGGATTTTGCTCACTTTCATTCTCAGGTTTTTCCATCAAGTCCCAAACCCTATGTCTCCAGGGCAGGGACAGCCGTCCTTTGGGGTGTGATGAACCCTGGTGTGTCCATGGGAAATTGAGGCTGAATGCGGACTCTTGAGCCTGCTTCCTGCCTGGCCTCTCCCTCACACCCACAGGACCCAGAACCCAGAAGGTCAGGCATCACCTCAGAAGCCTCCACTCCCTCCCTCCCCAATCTGTCTGCATGTCCAGTCAATGCCTCTCTTTCTCATGGCTCCAGCTGGATATTCCTGACCACCTGAACCCCCGGCCCTGCCTGTCCAGCCTCCCTGTGTCCCAGTGGCCATGGAAGTCTTGGAGGGGTTCCTCCGTGGCTGGGCCCATGCTAACTAGACAGAGGGATTGTAGCACAGCCCATACTACTGCCCAGGCCCCATGGGGACAGAGGCCAGTTTGGTGGCCTGGCATGGAAGACTGCTCCATTCACAGGGGCTGCTGGCCTCCACATGTGTTCCCTCCCCCAAAGGCATGCACACACTCACACACAAGCTCGCCTCCCTCTCCCCTGGCTGTTTCTCCTCCATTCTGTCCCCTTCCCCTGCACCTGGCCTGTCCCCCCCACCCTTCCAACAGCCACCCCATCTGCCTGGCAAACATCTCTGTTCTCAGAGTTCCCTGGTTCCCCTGGGGTCTGCCCCACTGCCACAGCACAAGGAGAGGGGAAAAAATGGAGGCCAGGGCCACTCACCCTACTCTTGAAACTGGTTGGGGTAAGACAGGTGACAGCCCAGGAGTCCACTGCCACCATGCGTAGCTCCCCAGCCCCGTGGTGGCAGGAAGGGTCGTATGCCCCAAGACCCAGGTCCATTGCCCCTGCCTTGGTGAACACCAGAAAAAAAACTTTTTTAAAGGCGCCACCTCTAGTGGCCAAGGTCCTGTGCCTGGCCGAACGTCCTTTCTCCTCTGACCCGGTCCCTTGCCTGCCTACTTGCCACGCCTCTGTCCTATATCACTCATGCCCTTCTTGTCCCCCTGGCCTACAGGGGACACAGAAACACTGACCCCGAGGTCACAGTCCCTCGTCCCAGGGCTAACAGGGACTTGTCTGCCTATCTTAGCCAAAGATTCTAAATTCCACCCAAAGGTAAAGTTTCAATTAACATGTAGGCGTCTGTGCAGCCCTGATGGTGACTGTTGCTGTCCCTAAATGTTGAACACATTTAAACTCTCAAGTGTGCTTTCTAAAACAAAAAACAGTGCCATTCAAGGAAGGATTTGACATTGGTCACCCATAAGGTATATCTATAATTTAAAAACATGTTGTAACTTATTTAAAATTCATTTATTCTAAAGGCAAAATTAAAAGGAATTTATTCTATTAATAAGATGTCATTTTTTTACACTAAAATATGAGTTTTAGGTATATACATAAGATAAGGAGAACTTAATGGTACTAATTAATGCTGTCTGTCATTATCACTCTAACACTCGAGAGACAATAAACACTTAAAAACATGCTAACTGCAACTTCTCTGCTGATAAAATTAGGCTTACTTACAGCCAAGAGGTTAAAAAGAATGGGTCCTTATGTATGGATATTTTGAATAGGCAATTAGAGGTTTGATTCTTAACAATGATTTCTTTTTGTTTTAAAATTAATGAAACTTTGTTCTCTGTAGCTCAACGTAGTATGTCAGATTCTAAACTTGTTTAAGGTCCCTTCCAAACTGTGGACCTGTAAATGGCTGGGATCTATAGGATTTGGATTCTTGGCTTTTTAGGTAATAACAAAGCCCCTTAATGAGGAAACTCAGGATCTAATTATAAACACCCGGAGTAGACCGGACAACAACAAAAGCCCCTCAAAGCTTAAAGGTTTACTGCCATTTGCTCTATCCCTAGTAATCCTAAATTTAGATAAGCCTTTAAAACCAAGGACAGGACATTATATTCAAAGAGGAAAAAGTTCTGCAGCCTATGACTAATTCTCCAAAACTGTCAAGTGATGTCACGTCCAAGGAGGCAACAAAACCTTTTCAATCCCACCTTAGCTTGCTTCAGTTATTTGGTCCTTTCATTAGGTAACTAACTCACGTGGACCCCTGTCTCTCAGGGAAATGTCTTTTACTCCTATAACAGATTGATATTTTGAGCCTGTAGGTTGCTTGTAACATATCTTTATGTTCCATCTGAGAGCCCTTTTGGAAAGACCATGTGGTCACAGGAAATGCTGCCACCATGATGAAGCCACCACATATGCAGCACCATCTTGTCACTCCCTAGGGATAGGACATTCATCTTGTCATCCTCCAGTTAAATTGTAACTAACCTGTCATTAAAATTCTCTAAATTAATATAGTTTTTATACATGCTGTTGTTAATGCATT